AGCGGGCGGCCGGACCCCGGCCTGCAGCAGGCTCTGCGGGGCCGCCTCCGCCTGCTGGAGAACGACAGCTGCGAAGTGGCCCGTGTGCTCGGGGTGAGTCCGGCTCCTCTGCGGGTCCGAGGACGCGGGTGGCACGAGCCTGGGTGAGCACAAGCGCAGGGCCCGCAGTGGAGAACAGGACGGAGGACTGCCCGGAGGAGGGGGCGGGCCGAGGAGACAGAGGGTTCATGATGTCCGGCCCTCCCAGGGACGTCCTGGCTGCAGGGGCCCTAATGGCTTTCCTCATTCACTCAATGGACATGCTCGCTCCCTGCGGGCCCAGCCACGCGTGGGCCACCCCGTTCCCAACGTCCCCCTACCCCTTTCCTCCTGTGCCCTCCCCCCGCCAGCATTTTTAAGGTCTCTTTTATTGGGAGTAAAAGGAACCAGTGTGAGTTGATCCCGTTCTTTGATTTTAATGGAGCCAGGGCCCTGTCGGCCTTCGCACGATGGACGACGGTCTGGCAGGATGGTAGAGGAGGGGGCTGGGCCAGGCGACCTCCCCACGGCCAAGGTCCTGGGGCTTGGAGCTGGGCGGTCGCCATCTGACCTTGCAGTCAGCCTGCCTGACCTTGGCCGATGCTCCTTAGCCCCGTGAACTCTCAGAATTATCACACCGGGGGCCGACGTGAGGGTCCTATGAGTGGAGCAGCGCTGTGCAGCATCCGCATGGTACTCAGCTGCGCCCATGGCGCCAGGCGGGGTGGGTGGCGAAGCCGCTGGCTCAGGGCTGCCTCCCGGCTGTCCATGTACTGACGGTCAGTCCGTGATGACAGCAGCCCCTCCCCCGACTCGCACACTTCCTGAATGCAGCAGGGTCAGCTGGGGTCGCCCTAGTGCCCCACCAGGAGTGTTCACGGGGTGGAGACCAGGAGGATACTGGGGTCAGCCCGGAAAGCGCTGCCAGCGGGAAGAGGGGGGCCGAGGGCTCGGCCGGAGCAGAGCGGAACCGCGTGTCGCCGAGGGGGAGGGGCGGAGCTGCGGGAGGGGAGTCGCAGGGGGTGCGGGTCCAGGGCATGAGGGTCCCACGAGCTCTGGGAAGGAGCAGGGCCTGGTAGGGGCACCGGGGAGCGGGAAGGGAGCGGCCAGGCTGCCGGGGAGTCAGCCGCGAGCTCGCGCCCCTGGCAGGTCGCTCTGCAGAGTTTCTGCGCGTGGCTCTGTCGTGCTGGTGGCCGGACGCCTCAGAGCTGCTGGGGCTGTTTCTGATTCCTGCTTCTTCCCCTAAGGAGCTGTCGGCCAGGCTGCTGTCCCTCCACAGCGACCAGGACCGCATCGTGGTGACCTTCAAGACCTTCGAAGAAATCTGGAAGTTTTCCACCTACCACGCTCTTGGTAAAGCGACTCCCTACCAGACCCGGCCACGGGGACTCCCCTTGCAGGAACTTGTCACATGCCGAGCATTTGTGTCACAAACAGGGGCTCTAGGGTAGGTTAGACACCGGAGAGCTGGCGTGCCTGCCCACGCTCAGGAGGGCGCTGTGCGGGGCGGAGCCGCAGACGCGCAAGGCCCACCCGCCCGCAAGGCTCGGCTCAGTCTCCAGATCTGTCCGGTGCTGGCCCGCCCGGCTCCGCTCGACCGGAACCGGGGGAAGCTGAGCTCGGCTGCCTGGCACGGACCAGTAGCTCGAAGCTGCTACTTCGCGCCCCACCTCAGGGCTTTCCTTCTAGCACGTTCTCCACTCTACGGGGAGGCGTCTGTGGGGTCCGATTGGTCTCCTGGAGAACTCGCTCCGCCACCCGGTCTGAGGCCTGAGGAAGTCGTAAAATAAGAACTCTAGGGATGATTCCTTGTGTGCCTCCAGCAGGGCCCACGCCGCCCCAGCCCCACCCCTTACCTGCGTGCGTGATCCCGTTAAACGCTCTCGTCCCAGCTCATAGACGCAGAGACCGAGGGGCCGAGAGAAAGTGATTTGTCCTCGTCCAGCCTTCCCAAGGCACAGGGTGGTCAAACAAGTTGTCCACAGTCACGGCTGGTCCACCTGCAGCTCAGACAGTCGGGCCGGTGGCTGCTGTGTTGTGGATGTTATTTTGAGTCCCCAGAGGCAGGCGAGGGTCAGCCGGGGCCTGGTCAGTGCAGGGCTTGGCCAGCACTGGCCCCCCGGCCTGCCTGCCGGAGCCCTGGTGACCAGGCGTGTCTGGCTCCCCCAGGCTTCACTCACCACTGCCTGGAAAGCCTGCTGGTGGACCAGGCCTTCTGGCTGCTCGCGCCCGATGAGGACGAGGAGACCACCATCCGGGTCCACGTGGACGAGGAGGCCTTGAAGCTGACGCACGAGGGCCTCCTCACGCAGGAAGGTGGTGCCGCTCGGGGAGCAGGGACCCCGGCCAGCTCCGCGGTGCACTGGGGACGCCGGGGCTCGGGCAGCAGCGGGCCCTGCAGGCGTGCACGTGGAAGCTGGCAGGGCGCTTCAGGCAGGGAGGGGTGCGTGGGGCGACCTGACAGCGATGTGCCCAGGCCTGCCGCTTAGTTCTAAGACCCCGTCAGAAGAGGGGTTTGCCGGCACGGCCCCCCATGCTGCGTTCCTGGCTCAGCTGTAGCTCCGAGGGCCACAGCAGTCACACAAAGGGCTGTAAGCCTGTAGCAAGCGGGGTGTAAAGCTGCCCGCCCCCCCCACTCCCACGGCCACGGGGAGGAACACAGGCGGCCAGCTGTGGTCGGGCCCCCTGGGGTGGAGGCCCAAGCAGGGACGGCCCTTGAGGTCACCCATCTGGCCCCTCACGGCACAGAAGGGGAGACTGAGGCCCCACGAGTCTGTGGCTGAGCCCAGCTCCCGGGGCAAGTCCAGGGGGGCAGAGCGGGACCCCAGCCCAGGTTTCACCCAGAGTCTGGCCGCCCGGGCCTCCGGCGTCTGGGCGGCTGGATGGAGAGACGGGGGATGAGGGCTCGTGCAGGCGCTGCCTTCGCCCGATCCTGGGGGGGTGGACGGGCCCTGCATGGCCGTCCCTGTGTCCAGCCACTCTGAATCACCACCCTCTGTCGCTCTGAAGGTCATTTCTTCGTCCTATGTCCTGACCACCATGTGAGAGCAATGACCGTTCCCTGGGGTGCAGGGAGGGGCCCCCAGCCCCTGAGGCGGGCTTCGGCGGGCCCCCCGGGAGAGGCAGCGCCAGCGGTGGACCCCTCGACCCCCAGCCTCGGAGCATCCTCCAGGGAGGCAGCAGCGGCGGCCACGCCAGAGCCTCTGATCCCATTTCACCAGTAGGTGCCCGCCCGCTCCTCTCCCTCCCGCCGCCGGGCCTCTCGGGGACGCCCCTGGCCCCGGCCCGACCTGGGCCGAGGGGCTCGGGGCGGAGAGCAGTGTGAGCCCCCGGCAGACCCAGCCACAGTCCTTCCTGCTGCAAGCCACCGCACGGCTGGGCCCCACGCATGACAGGACAGTGGCACCCCCCGGAGGGCTGTCCTGGGACGAGGTGGCTGCAGGGGGTGCTGATGGGACCTTGCTTTGTACTCTGGCTCGTCCTGAGGAGCTCTTAGGGGAGCAACACGACAGGTGCCCACAGGAAAGAAGCGCACGGGAACAGTGGCCAAGGCCGAGCAAGCGGGTGGGGTCCGAGCGAGACACCGTCCAGGCTCCGCTGACCGTCCAGGCTCCGCGGTTTCACTCTGCCCCAAATCTGAAATCCTGCAGCAAAGGCCTCTCTCCCCCTCCCAGATGGGCTCTTAGGGTCCCCTGGGACCCCTGCGATGACTCTGCGAGTGAGCCTGTGACGCCGGGCGCCCAGCTGATGGGTAAGTATTCCCGCTAGCCTTTCTCCCCTGGAAGAAACGTGGGCACGGAGGGCGGGCACCAGCGTTCTGGAAGCTTCTGCTGCTGCCCTGCCTCCTCTCCAAGCCAGAAGACATAGCTAGACTCCTCTCCGGCTCACAAGGGCGTCGCCGAGGCTCAGAGAGGCCGGTGCAAACTCACGCAGCCCATGGCGGGGCCGGGCGGGGGCTCCTGGTCACCAGGGTGCGGCTCCCACAGACGGTTCAGCGAGCCCTTTCCCGGTCTCTGCTAACTGCCTCCGAGGGCCCTGGGATGGGGACCGGGCCGCGGACCGGGCCGCGGCTGAATCCGCCACATGCACTAGTGGGTGACCATGTGGCAGGGTCTTCTTTGAAAAGCCAGCCCCACTAGAAGCCTAGGCTCCTGGTCAACAGCTTCCAGCTCTACCCCAGGCTGGCTAGTGTGGGGTGGCCTTGTGTCCCCGTTCCATGGACATGAGGCCCCAGCGGAGAAGGGTGGGGGAAACTCAAGTTCACAGCTGCATGTGCGCTGGGCCTGGCCTGGCCTTGGAGGACACGGCCCCAGGCCACCTTAATTAAGGTCTCTGGGCCTCAGCATCTCTCCCTCGGGGTGGATATAAAGCACCTCCCCCCCCACCGAGGACCACGGAGATATCCACCCCCTCGTGTGCGGTGGCCAAGTTCATGGCCACCCCGGACAGCCTTAGATGATTCCATAGCAGAACTGCGTGTCCCCGGCTGAGGGCCGCCGTGTGCCAGGCCCCGCCCCTAGGGCTGACCGCGTGCCCACCTTCCCACAGGCATGGGCCTGGCCCCAGCGGTGGCCGACTACCAGGGCTCCGGGCCCGAAGAGGTGACCTTCCAAAGTGGGGACCTCATCGAGA